GTTTTAAATGATATTTATTGATATAATATAAATGAATTAAACAAAAAACAAAAAAAAGAAAGAAAAAAGGAAAAAGTTAATATTCTTCAATTTTTTGTCGATCTTTTTCAATTTGTAAAACTTTTTTTGTTAAACTTGTTAAACAATTCGAATTTGAGTCATCGGAAAGTGTTCGTTTAATAGAATTATTTGTTGATTGACCAAAAAAACGATTTTTTTCATTTCTATTAAAAAGAATATTATCTTGATTTTCATTTGAATTATTTATTTTTGATAGTGTTGAAATAGGTGTTAAAAAATTACCATCTTCAGTTCGAATTCGAGTCGTTCGTACTGTATTATTTGTACCTAGAATTTATTTATTTAAAAAGAAAAAAAGAAAAAAAATTTCAATATGATTCATAGGATTTCAATTCAATTAGATTTAACAAATTTTATAAATAGTATCATTATTTCATATAATTGTAGAACATGAGAGGAAAAAAAATGTTTGAATTAAATGAATAAATTTTATATTATTATATGTCAATATGATGTTGTCTTTAAAAAAAAATAATATAAGTTAAATAAAATTGATCGAAATATAAAAATAGTTCTTATGTATTTATTTAAATGTAGACAAATAAATATTCTTATTTGTTTTATATTATATAAAAGAGAAGAGTCTAATAAATAAATTCTTTTTCGATTAATTCAACAAAGATTTTATTTATTTGACTAGAACTTTTTAATAAAAAATTTTTCAAATCTAATCAAAGATTTAACTCCAACGTAGATTTTATTACAAAAAGAAAAAGTAATCGAAATAGAAAAAGTCTATATCGAAAAATTCAATAAAGAATTCGACTTGAGCTTTTTTTTCTTTTTGATTTTTAATGAATTATCTTGTTAACAATCGATATATATCGTCTATACTTTAATTAATTGTCGATTAAATAATTTGTATATATATTTGTAATCGTTGAATATAATAATTTCATGATCAATATTTATTGGAAATAATATTAAATAAATATTTAATCATACAATTAACAATAAATAATCAATATTATTTTCTTAAAAAATAAATCTTTTATATGAAATATTCGAAAAAGATTTCTTATATGAAGAGATAAATTATATTTAAGTTAATATAAATCTAATATTAATTGAATATAGTATGTAACAAATCTTGATGACATTATTTAGTCAATACTAAAACAAAAAAACAAAAGGTTACCTGCTTGAATCGATGATGATAAAACATTCGATGTTGAATTTGTTTGAATATCTCTTGTTAAATAACTTGTTTGATTATTTGATGATGATGATGATGAATAGATATTTGATGAATAATTAATAAATATAT